CTGTGGCTTAGAAAGAAGAAAAACTGAAGCAGTTGAAGGATCTCTTATTGCAAATAATGTCGCTACTGCAGAACTGCAGATATGTCTTCTAACACTTTATTATTTTGAAGCAGCTTTAAGAGAAATTGATAACTATACAACTAGTTTAAATCTCTGGTGCTCTCAGCACAGACAATTCTCTTTTTCACCCTTTACTGGCATTCTTATTTCATGAGCCTCTTTCGAAATTTTCAAAAACTACCATCATCTTGAGAATGGTATTTCCATTTCTGGGAAAAAAAAGTTCCAGACCTCTGGGCACAGATCAAGTGTCTCTGACATTTGGCTGTCCATTTGTTTTTGGTGCTTTGGAAAAGAAGCTCCAGACGTCAATGTGACTGGCTGGTGGATCTCTCTATCAGCAGGCACCGGTGCTAAATGTCCTGCCACCAATACTGAAGGAAGGCTCACTTAATGCCATGAGAGGCAACGACTTCACTGGGCCAGGGGCTGAATCATTTTTAAAGGAACTTTTATTAAGAAATGGGGCATAATGAGAGTGGTTCTTCACTTACTAAAGGGAAATTTGCTGAATTTCCAGAGAACAAGTCTTAAAATGCTTGATTAAACTTTGAGCAGAAATTTTATGTTTAAGTAAAATGATTTAGCATACTTGGACAATAGTTTTGGCCACATCTTTTGGTTAAAGCCCTGAAGTCACCATTATGTATACTGTTGAACAAAAGAGCTGTTCCGTAACAGACTGGTCACTAGGAGAACATGATAACACTGAAGAAAGACCTCCAATTTGGGGCTAAATGTAACCAAACTTTTTCCAATTTCTCCACAGGCAGAAGCAAATGTGAGCCAAACTCTTAAAAGGTTGCTTCTGATCAAGGTAATCTTAAGACTGAAATGTGGATTTATAATCCAAAATTTGCCTATATGGATCAACATCAATGATGTGAACTTTGCCAAAGATAATAACCTCAGTATATTCAGGACAAAGGAAATTACCCATAATGAATGCAACTGTTTCTCAACTCAAGCCTACCTTCACTTGGTAGAGGGTGCTATAGAGCTTTGATTCCATTCGCTACTGTGTGCTTTTACGAGCCAGGGGTTATAACATTTTTGCCATTAAAACAACACAAAACAAAAATCAAAACTCATTGGATGTCAAGCATGCTAGAAATGTTGTCATATCAAAATCATTCAGACCTTTCTCCTACTTCAAGTCAAACCTTTACAGCCTTTACATTGAAAGTTGGTGATAACCTGAATTGAAGTTCAAGTTGTGCTTTGCTTGGAAATTTTTGTTTTATTTCCTTTTTATCATGCAGTGGGCATTAAGTTTTGCATTAAAATGAGCAAGAAAGTCATAGGTTTGTTAAGAATGGTTTTCATTGGTTTTCTATTTGTAATCATGTAGAAAAGAATGTGTCTAATAAATTTATAATATCATAAAATAAATTCTATCTATATTTTTGTGCATATGTTTGGGTATTTTTTTCTGTACATTCACAGTTCACATGGGGAAGATATCCATGTCAAAAACATCAACAAAATTTAAAATAGGAAAAATATTTGCAATAAATATAATAGTCAAAAAACTGGACATAAAAGAAGCCAGTCAGCAAGAAAACAAGTAATTAATGTAAATTAATGTAAAAAGACATGAAGTGAATATTTTCAAAAGAGAAAATACAAACGGAATATAAATAGTTAAAACTAATCTCTTTAACAATAAAAAAATCAAATTAAAAACAAAGCCACTTTGTCTAGAATATTAGCAAAGATTTTTTTAAAGCTATCTAAGGAAAAACTATGAGGAAGATGAGCACTTTCCACCAGTGGAATAAGAGTACATTGGTATAGTCTTTTTGGAAAACAATTGTGTAATATATAGCAAATACTTTTAAAATGGTCACTTTCTTTAGCTCGACAATTGAATTTCATATCATTTATATCTAAGGGGAAAAATACAAAATGTAGACAGTGATTTTATATAACTCGTTCATTTCAGGGTCATTGTTTAAAAAAATTTTTAAAAATCAAAGTTAAGAGAATGGTTAAATATATCAAGGTACACCCATATGAATGAATATACAGTCACTGAAATAGTGTTTACAATGAGTTTCTTGGATGACTTCAAAAACCAATGATCAGAGATGGACACAGTGGCTCATGCCTGTAATCCCAGCTCTTTGGGAGGCTGAGGCAGGAGGATTGCTTGAGGTCAGGAGTCCAAGACCAGCCTGGGCAACATAGTGAAACCCTGTCTCTATAAAAAATATTTAAAAATTAGCTGGGTGTCATGGCTCATGCCTGTAGTTTTAGCTACTTGGAGGCTGAGATGGGAGGATTGCTTGAGCCCAGGAGTTCAAAGCTGTAGTGAGCTATGACCATACCACTGCACTCCAGCCTGGACAACACAGCAAGATCCTATCTCTTAAAACAAAACAAAACAAAACAAAACAAAACAAAATAAACAAAAAACCCCCAAACCAATGATCTGTTGAATGAGAAAGAAATATATAGTAAAAAAAATTTTACAGTAGCTCTTTCCAAGTAGAATTTGAGTGTTTATTTTATTTTCTGCAGTTTGTAAATTATCCACAATGAGCACATATTATTGACACTTGGGGAAATTAAATTAAATTTAAATTAAACATATCAAGTTTAGATCATGGATAGAAGCAGAAATATCTTAAAGAAGAAAAAACTCATCTCATATGAATGAACAAATAATGAGTATAAAGTTTCAAAATAATTGATGAGAAACAAAGTTGTGTTGCTTGTACCTCCACTTAGCTGTTCAGTGGCATTAACTTTGCTGTGATTTGGATGCTACTGAGTGTTCTGGAAATGGCTAATCACAAACTAATCCTTGACTCCAAATTGAAAAATCAACTTTACAGGCAAGAACAAGAGGAAACAATTTGAGGTTGGTGAGGGTTTTAAAATAATATGAAAATAACATGATTTATAAGAAGAACTAAGATAATAGTTGGGAAAGGTAAAGAAATGACTACCCAATGCTCTAAATTTTACTGTTTCAAAAGTGATCTTTACAATTTGCTGAATTCTCCAAGGAAAACATAGAACCTTGTGTTGAGGAATCATTTAAAGAAGACTATAAAGCTAACTGAATCAGATTTTCCCTTGGGTTTGTAAGAGAAGAGTACCTTTCCTAGTCTCACTCCTCCACATGCAACTCATGAGGACCCCACTGACTCCACGGTGTGAGAGGCTGAGCAGCCTGGCCGAGTGCTTCCTCCATCCACTCCTAAACTCAGAGGACTTTAAACTTTAAGGTTTAATCTTTAATAGCTGTCAAACTTACTTTGTACAAAATCATCGTATGCCAAACCCTACTTTTTTACGTTGAAGATTATTAATTACAGAAAAATTGATAATATAAAAAGCTACGAAATAACTTACATGCCCAATAATTGGGATTGGCTAGATTACGGCATATAAATACTGTGATTATGTGCACTGTGGACTATAAACTGAAACGCCTACAGGGACACGGCAGGTAGCACGAATGAGCAAAGTGGGCCTGTGCTGGGAGTTGGGAGCAATGGAGCCAGTTGGTGGCCTTGTGGAAATGTGGGCCCAGTGATGCCAGACCTTCCTATTTTAAAAAACTTTTTATTTATAAATAATTTGAACTTTATAAAATGTTATAAAAATAAGACATAGTAAAAGAATACCTATGCCCTTTACCTATAATCTTTTATTTGTTAATACTGGAGTCCATTTGAATTCTCTCTATATATACACACGTGTACATATTTGTACACACAATTTTTTTTTCTGAATCCCTGATATGTTAAATACATCATGGCTCTTTACTCCTAAATACTTCATTGTGTACTTCCTACAAATAGAAACCTGAAAACTACCGTTCTTGAGCTAGGACACCCAGAGTGTGAGGAAGAGAGGGCATGAAAGGGTCTTCTCCCCCTGGCAACTAGGGGACCAGCCAATTAGCTGCCACCACCCCAAACAGAGCTGTAACACCAAACAAAGGATGAAAACCATTGCACTAGACAATTTTCATTCCATCTGTAAAAATAATACCTCTAATAGGATATATATAAAAATATATTAATATATTCTGTACCTTATAAGATATATACTTTAAAAATGATGAGAAAAGATTAAATTCAAATACAAGATTCAAAGTTTTCTGCCTGCACTCCAAGGAAGCATCTCTCACCCTCTTAAGGCACATGCCTCCCCTCCCTGGGCCTTCACTCTGCACTGTAGAGTCGAAACTGGAAAAGAACCACTGCTATTTCCAAAGCTTAATCTGGGTCCCGCTCCCTGGATGTTATCTCCTTAACATCTGCTAGCTCTCTCCAGCACAACACACTGTTGTATTGCCTTCATAGCTCCTCTCACCACTGGAAGTCATCTTGCTTATATATGTGTTTACTTGAATGATACTTTCTCCCCCTTCTAGAACACAAGCTCCTTGAGAACCAGAATCTTGCCTGTCTTGTTCATCCCTAATTTCTAAGCACCTCGAACAGGGCTTGGCACATGGTGGGTGCTCATTAGATACTTATTAATGAATTGAACTAAGATACTTATTAATGAATTGAACTAAACATACGCCTGGCTCCTATTCCAGCTCTTCCCTCCTGCTTAGTCTTCCACTCTTCTAGCAGGCAACAGGACAGGTTCCCTGACCCCTTGCTGAAAGCTAACGACACCCTCATCTACTTCTAAACAAAACCTCTCAGCTGTAAAGACCTTCCAGAGAGCTGAGAGGCTGGGGCATCTTGTTCTTCATGTAAAACACAGACCCACAATCTCAAATTTAGAAATTAAAAAACAGATATATAATTATGATATCTCTAAAGGCACTTTTAAAAATAACACCCAAAAAATATATATTTGTAAGCTGAACTGTCGTTTTAACACAGAGCTATCCTTCCCACCCAGTAGGGTCAAGCTGCTCTTGGTGCGTCTGTCCGGGGAGGAGAGAGCGGAAGGTGTGCAGGTACCTGATGGTTTCCCACACGTCGAAGCCATCTAGGGGTTTGGTGCCGTTGGTGTGCCCCCCGGCCAGCTTCACGAGCGTGGGCAGCCAGTCGGAGATGTGGATGAGCTCCCGGTTCTTCACGCCCTTCCGTCTCAGCAGGGGGCTCGCCACGAAGCCCACCCCGCGGACGCCGCCTTCCCACAGGCTCCACTTTCTTCCTCGGAGGGGCCAGTTGTTGCCCCCCGCCAAAGTCTGCCCTCCGTTATCTGAAACACAGGTGGGGCTCGGCATGAGGATGGTGCTAACTCTTCAATACATTTCAGAACAGAGACTTCTATGTATGTTTTTACTGAATGGTGCGTAAGGAATAAGAAAGAAAACTCCTTCCCTCTCCATGCTAACTACCCCACCCCCACCTGACACTGCTGCCCATCCCACAACCATAACCCGGGTCCACGGTGGCACATGTCTGATACAGGACGTTTAAATCCTCCACGTGTAGAGCCACTGAAAAACAAGGCGGTCCCCGGATGGTGTGAGCTTTGGAGAGATCCCCGTGGCCAGCAATGGACTAAGTCTCAGATGCGTGTGTGCAACTTTGAGTAGTACAGGAGAATGAGTCCATCGAGGCTGGGGCCTTCCCTGTATATGAAAAGAAAACTCAGAGTTTCACTTAGTGACTTTAAGCTCCTGGTAAGTGGGGACAGCAAACCTTTTCATTTTTCTCTTGGAAAAATGTTCCAGCATTTAAATGGTCAGCTGAGCTGAGCTTTTTCTTAAGTGTGAAAGTTGAAGATTTCTCCAGTGGTTTATAAACGTCTCCATAAACAGAGCAGCCGGGTGGAAAAAATAATTGCGAGAAAAATTCTTCCCTTTTTGACAGGATGGCGAGATAAAGCTTCATCGTGTGCAATGCCAGGGAAGAGAAGGTTTCTCTTCCAAGACAACAGAGGGAATGGTGGACGCTGGAGAAGACAGGGTAGAAGCCACTGGATTGACTCAAGTTAAGTACCTTACCAGCCAGAAGAGGGCTCAGAATTAGGTGTTAAGTTGGACCGCAGAGAACAAAAAGTGATATTTCTTGTATATTGAGGTTACAGAATCAGACAAGCTCCAAAAATATCCATATACTTAGGTGACTTTAGAGACACATTTTAAATAACGCTTACTTTGCGCATGTTATACTTTAATTTAATGTTTATTTAAAAACACTATTATCCAAACGAACCACGTGAGGGCAGTATGACAGATGTGCTGTATAGAGCGTTACATACAAACATCTGTTACAGAAGTCAAAGATCTGGCAAAGCCACAGATGCACATGGGACAAACATTTGTTAAGCACCAGGTACCACTTTGATTTCACATTCTCTCTCACAGAATCTGGAGTCAGACAGACCTGAGGCAAGACACTAACTAACTTTGTGACCAGGGGCAACATGCGACCCCAGTTCCCTCATCTTTAATGTGGAAATAATTTATCTTAGTCTGTTTTGTGTTGCTATAACAGAATACCTGAGGCTGGGTAATTTATCAAGAAGAGAGGCTTATTTGGCTCACCATTCTGGTGACTGGTAAGTCCAAAAGCACGCACCACATCTGCTTGGCTTCTGGTGAGGGCTTTTGGGCTGCTTTATAAAATGGCAGGGAAGTGGACAAGGAAGTGGGTGTATGAAAACAGGGACCAAACAGGAGGAGGAACCTTGCTTTATAACAACCCACTCTTGTGGGAGCTAATCCGAGAGCAAGAACTCAGTCCCATGAGATGGCATTAACCTACTCGTGAGATCTGCCTGTACTACCCAAACACCTCCCACTAGGCCCCACCTCCCTAGAATGCCACACTGGCAATGAGACTCCAAAATGAGTTTTGGTGGGGACACAGCACATTCAAACCATAGCACTACTTCATGTGTTATGATGAGAATGAAATGACACCATTTACGATAATTTCTTGGCAGGATTCCTGACACAAGCTAAGTGCCCAATTAATGGTAGTAATTGTTGTTTTTAATATTTTACAACAACCCAAATAGTCTAGCACTGTAACCATTTTGTTGCTTAAGAATCAATGAGGTTAGAAAAGGCAAAACAGTTAATACGTAGCAACACTAGGATTCTAGCACCGTCTGTGTGGACCCCCCCCCACCCCCCAGGCCTCTGCCCCAGAGCACCAGGCTCCTGCTGTCCCTAGAAAAGTGAGCTCACACATGAAGGCCACATAAACCTTCACTTCCCATGAAAGCCACCAACACAGTCAACCTCAGCAAAGCATACATTCTTCCTATGAGACAGCAGAAGGACAGTTATTTCAAGGTGATGGCGATTCGTTTCAGAGAAACCTTTGTTGCAGATGGGGAACTAATTCAAGGTTCTACTGCCAAGGAGGCTTTTGATAGAGCCCTTGGCACACCAGGTCCTTTGTTCTTTTCTGTGCTTCTCGAAGGACAGTGGAGGACAATCTTCAGCTAGATTAGATGAAGGAAACAATTCTTCAACACACAGGTGGGTGACAGATCCATCATTTGACATCACAGACTTACAAGAACCTTTGCTCAAACCTCACCATGTCTCTTCTGGACAAAACCCAAGGCCCAGACATTTATTTACCCAAGCCAGTTTATGGAACACACATTGCATTTCATATCCAAGCTGGGCAGACCAAGGGGCAACCATCTTTGGACAGAAGAAATTCCTCCACGCTCCTGATACCCCAGAGTATCAGTCACCCACAACCGATGTATTGAAACTTAAAAGAAGATGTTGTTCATACGCTACAAAAATACACGGAAGGAAGTGTTTATGCTCTACCTGTGATGTCCAGAATGGCTGAGACAGAACTATTATTTTACTCTGTTGTCTAAATTGCTATAAAGTACACTGGCTCAGTGCTTTAGAAGATGCCAGTTGTCTCTGTTTTAAATACATACACTTTTCTGAGATATTCTATGAGGTGTCCTGCAGTTCCGCATATTTGTGAGTGCTCAATAACAAAATACTGGATAAAGATGGTGGTGGAAATAAGAGAGGAGATGATGGGGATACGGGTGGCTGCGTCTGGAATCTGATCCTAGGAGCAGCCCTTCGGGTATGACTCAGAAAGGAAAATTCTCTGGACTATAAAAGAGAATTTGGCCACTATTGCTACTGTAGGAGCTGGAAAGTGTTTCCACATATCATTAGGGCAGGACGCTGATGCAATGAGTGTGACTGTTTCTGCAATTAGCTATCTGTGATGTTTTTGCCATTAGCAATGATCAGCAATTCTATCAACAGTTACCAATGTGGCTTCCTTAATCATTTTGTCAAGAGCACTCCAGAGAGAAAGCCCTGTCAACTGTCACACCTGCAACTTGCCCTGGATTCCACTGTCACAGAGCCAACCGCAGATGTGGCCTCAGGACAAGGGCAGTTCAGCCCCACCTGTATTTGTCCCTCTGCAGGGGGCACCTGGCTGATGGTTGCCGCTTCTCAGCAAAGGAGCAGAATCCACCGAGTTAGGCCTTCGTTTGGTTAAACACATGAGAAACAGGGTGCTGTTTGTCAGTTCTAGCTCAGTCTCCCAGGTATTTCAAAGAGTTCAACATAAAACTGATTAGAGTAGCAGCAAGAATAAAATAAACTCATTTGAAACAAGGTAGAAAGGGAGTGTCCTACATTGCTCTCTTAAGGCTGAGATAAGTGGTCGGGCATGGTGGCTCACGCCTGTAATCCTAGCATTCTGGGAGGCCGAGGCAGGAGGATCACTTGAGCTCAGGAGTTCCAGACCAGCCTGAGCAAGAGTGAGATCCCATCTCTACTAAAAATATAAAAATTAGCCAGGTATGGTGGCACACATCTGTAGTCCCAGCTACTTGGGAGGCTGGGGCAGGAGGATCACTTTAGTCCAGGAGTTTGAGGTTGCTGTGAGCTAGGCTGACGCCACTGCATTCTAGCCTGGGCGACAGAGCGAGACTCTGTCTCAAAGAACAACAACAAAATGGCTGAGATAAGTTCAAATTTAAAAAGACTATGGAACGACCAGCATTTCAAACACGTGTCTCCTCATTTTCTCTCTTTTCTTTTCGGCAAAATTTAATTTCTTTCTTGTTAAGAATTCATTTTCAAGAAAAATTTTTGTTTCATTTCCTGACTGACTTATGAAAAAACTCCCAAATCAAAATAAGATGACTCTAGTTACGAAAGGAAGCTATTGAAACATTTTTTCAGCAATGTTCTGGCAGAGGGAAAACCTAATTATAAAACCTTTGTTGCTTAGAAAAGAAATGTCAAAATAAAACAAATGTTGTCATATACAGACTGTAAATCTCACTTTATTATTCATCATTGAACAAAAATAACTGTCAAAAAGTCACGGAAAAACATTGGTTAGCCAAAGATCTGAGCAAAAACATTAAGTATATGACAACGAAGGCTCATCTGTATGCAGCTGATAAAAATTAAGATGAAACCATGACAACAACATTAATTTTTAGGACTATTCCCCCAAACAACTTAATGTTGTGGCTTGGCCATGGAGGGCTGCCCTGAACCATCTCTGTCCCCTGCAGCCTGGCCTTACCCCAGGCATCCTCCTCACTCTGACTCAGGCATCATAGAAGGAAAAGCACGAAAGGTTCCAGGGCCTCAACTTTCTGAACAGGGTCCCCCATGAGAGTGACTGAAAAATGAGCAGGCAACATAATTACAAAAATGAAGAAGCCTCTTTGGCCCACAAAAAGTACCTGTTTGTTGATGGTTGATCCTTTTGGATTCCTTTTTTTTTTTTAATTATTAATACTATAATAAAATACAAATGAGAGAGTTAATATATGTCTTAGTAGGCATCTAAGACTACTTAGACACTACATAAATTCAAGTATTAGGTAAATTCAATCTTTTCCTATTTTGGAGAAAATACTACCCAGATACTCAAATTACAACTTCACATTCTTCTCAATCCCTCTTCTTTCCCTCTTGCTCTCCATCGAATCGTTTCTGACCGAACGTGCATGCAACTCTGCCAAGCCTATCTTTAAAATGATTTTCCAATCTATCCCCCTTCTCCAGCCCCACCGCTATGGGTCAGGCCTTCCTCTCACCTTGGCTCCAACACTAATTTATTCACTGCTTCAAGTTGCCACCAGAGGCGTTTGTAAAGCCCAAACTAATCAGGCCACATCCACGTTTAAAGACCCGATTGCTTTCCAGGCTCTCCGAGGAGCTGAAACCAGAATGACAGGACAGAGCCAGCACACGACAGCCAGAGAGCAGAGAGCCCAGGCGC